AGGGAAAGCGGATTGATGGCAGGATATAACACAAAATAAATGATTTTTTTTTTTTTTCAACTTACTGGGCTTTGTAGACAAGGTTGTCTTTGAACAAACATGAGGATTCCTGTATATGGATCATGTAGTCGTACAGGAATCCCAAAGCCATTTCCTTGCCTTCCTCGCCGAGTGGTCTTTCTCCCCCAGACTCACTCTCGTTCTCCGTCGAACTGCCTGGCAGAATACAGCCTTTCTCTCGAGGATGTGGACAAGTCTCTGTAGAAAAGTCAGTGTGCATTTGAAGATCCAGAGGGGAAATATACTACATTATGATCATAAACACAAACATAATAACGTGTGCACAAAGATAAAAGGGAAAGACCAAAATAAGAAATCAAACTGAAACGTTTCATTTTCATTCATGACGTGGACGTTTCCTTTCCATGCAACATCAAGTGTTCAAGGAAGGGCCGAACTGTCCTTAACACACCAGAATCTTCATTCCGCGACTCTGGAAGTGCGAGAGGAGAGACGACTTCCTCAAGATCCTGACGAAGGGAACTTGAACTGCCATACAGCCCTCTCCCTCCTTCGGCGCCGGAGGAGCTACCCTGTGGCACCTGGTCCCCATCCTGCACAAGACTCCTCCCGGAAGACCTGTGGAGATTCTGCAGTCTCTCGCCTTCTTCGGAAACCACCAGGATCTTCAGAACGGCCGGGTTGCGAAGGCCACGCACCAGCCACGCCACCGAGTCATGCAGTTTGTCGAAATCGTAGACATCATGCAGATCAAGAATCTAGAGAACGAGAGAAAACCTTAAGTGCGCGCCCGGCCGTTGCTGGAGACTGCGGAGAGTGACTTGAGCGTCTGAGCAGCGAGGCCAGACAGACCATTCGGGGCGAACATCTAGGAACGCAAAAGAAGGACCGATATAGAGGTTAACAACTAAAAAATCACCAGGAACGTTAACAAAGATGATGGGCATAAAGTTGAAAATGACAACTGTGATAACATTAATTAAAATAATATGATAAGGCAATGATAATGGTAATGACAATAACATTGATACTACTACTACTACTAATAATAATAATAATAATGATAATAATGATGATAATGGCAATGATAATAATAATGACTCTATATATGTGTCTGTGTATATGTGTGTGTGTGTGTGTGTGTGTGTGTGTGTGTGTGTGTGTGTGTGTGTGTGTGTGTGTGTGTGTGTGTGTGTGTGTGTGTGTGTGTGTGTGTGCTGTACGGTATAGTAGCAGGATTAAAATGGTGAAATGATGAAAGTAAGAAAAAATATTAAATCATGAAAATATTAAAATGATAAAAATGGTGATAATGATGAAAATGAAGAAGACGAAAATTAAGATGAAAATTAGGAAAATGACAAAGATGAATAAAATTCAACTTGCCTCACAAGTCGTTTTCTCTCTGAGTTCTTCGAGAAGCTTCTTTGCTTGCGGAATCACGTCGTTTGCGTACACAAGCAGAACGGCCTTAGTCGGCGCGGCGGCGACCGGCGGCGTCCGCGGCAGGCGCGTGCGCGGGGGCGAGCCCGAGGCAGCCGTGCACCTGGGGCGGCCTGGGGCGAGCGGAGGTTAGTGCCGGTCTGCATGGCTGAGTGAATGGCATTTATTTCCAGAGCTGTACTGGCACACACGCACGCACACGCCCATACACACACACGCACACACACACACACACACACACACACACACACACACACACATATATATGTGTATATATATATATATATATATATATATATATATATATATATATATATATATATATATATATACATACATACATACATACATATACAAATATATGTATGTGAGTGTGTCCGCATGTATATGTATGTATGTATGTATGTATATATCTATATATACTTATGTATATATAAGTATCTATTTACACATACAGTACACACACACATGTGAGTGCATGATCCCCCCAGGTCCTCACCCGTGCATCTGCGGACCACGAGCGCCGCCGCCGCCGCCAGCGCCGCCGCCGCCACCAGAGGCTTCAGCCAAGGGCGCGCCGGAGACTCCTCGCCGGGCTGGAAGGGAAATAAATAGGATTATATATCTAATCCCTAAGTTTGACGTATTTACTTATTGTTCCTAATTATGTTGACTTCAACCTGATTATTCTTTTGCTTTACTTTTTTTTTCTTTCTAACCATCTTATTCACGTTGGGGTTTTAGAAATAAATGAACAAATGTAATATTTGGGGGTTTATTGTCACCTCAAGTAAATGAACGTTATCCCAATCTTGCCATTCGCTTGTTGCAGTACATTATCTCCTACGATTTTTAGCCAAAACGTTATAAGTCATAACTAAAATTTACATCGAGTTTCGTCTTGTCTCAATTTTTAAAGAATTTCCTCTGACGTCATAGCTTCAATGTCCGCTTGGCTTGCAACCTTTTCTTTCGGCCGATTTTCTCCTCTTTCATTTACCTTTTATTTATTTATTCATCTATTTACTATTATTAT